CAGCAGCAGCAGCAGCAGCAGCAGCAGCAGCAGCAGCAGCAGCAGCAGCAGCAGCAGCAGGAGCGTCGTGGGTGGGCGTGCGCGGGTGCGCAGCTTGAGCGCCTGCGGCGCCGCCTCGCGCCGCCGCAGCAGCAGCAGCAGCAGCAGCAGCAGCTTGGCTTCCCCGGCGGCTCCCGCCGCCGCCTCGCCCGCTGCCGCCGCCGCTGCTGCTGCTGCTGCTGCTGCTGCTGCTGCAGCGCCTGCTGCTGCAGCAAAAGAGCTGCTGGGGGCGGTCTCGAGGGAACTGACCTGCCCCATCTGCCTCGAACTGCTGCGGCTGCCAGTCACCCTCTGCTGCGGCCACTCCTTCTGCAGATATTGCATTTCGCATAACAAATTAGTTGGAAGTTGCTGCCCTTTGTGTCGGCAGCAGCTAGGAAGGGCATTTGCGGTGAACACAGTGCTGTGCAACTTGCTGGGGCTGCTGCAGCAGCTGCAGCAGCAGCAGCAGCAGCAGCAGCAGCAGCAGCAGGGAGGCCCCGTCGACGGACACTGGTGGGCCCAACACTGCGTCAAATACCGAGTTGCTGCGCCCCTCGCGCTGCGGCTGCTGCTGCCGCAAGTGGCTGAAGAGAGTTTGCTGCTGCTGGACGACACAGTGGCTTGCGTGCTGGACTTGTTCGAGAAGCGCCAGCTCTGGTCCGACCAGCGCTGGTGAGCTTTTTCCTCCCATTTTATTCTTTTTATTTTATTTTATTTCATTTCATTTCATTTTTTTGTTTTGTTTCCCTTTTTAAACTTTTCTTTCCGCTTTTATTTCCCTTTTCCCGAAAGTCCGCGCGGCAGACCCGCGAGCGCGGCCGACGCTGCGCCGCCGCGCTTCCACCGCCCGATCTGCCGTTTCTGTCTTTCTTTTCTTTTCTTTTCTTTTCTTTTTTCTTCTTTTGTTTTATTTTCAAAATTAATTCCAAAATTAATTCCAAAATTAATTTCAAATTTAATTCCAATTTTCGAACTTCTCCGCAAAATGCGCGCCGCGCAGGTGCTTCACGCTGCGCGACGCCGAGACCTTCTGCCGCCTCATCGACTACAGCCAAGCCGACAAAGGTGAGACACACCAACCCACAACCAGCAGCAGCAGCAGCAGCAGCAGCAGCAGCAGCAGCAGCAGCAGCAGGTTGGTCCCCCAGCCGCTGCTGCTGCTGCTGCTGCTGCAGCTGCTGCAGCTGCCGGCGTCCCGCAGGCGCTCGCGCCGCAGCTGCTGCTGCACGAAGCAGCTGCTTCCAGCGCTCGGGAAAAAGACCAGCAGCAGCAGCAGCAGCAGCAGCAGCAGCAGCAGGTTGTGTGCTGCTGCTGCTGCAGAAGGCACGCGGGCGCGGCTGCACCGCTGGGTGGAAACTTATGTTTCTTCTTTGCCTTCCCTCTGCGCCCGGGGGGGCCCCCTGGGGGCCCCCGAGGAGAACAGCCGTTTTGTAGTGCGGGTCCTTGGGGACCGCATGCACCGCATAGAGGCGAAGGTCTTCGACTCGCGCACGATCCAGGTGCTGCTGCTGCTGCTGCTGCTGCTGCTGCTGCTGCTGCTGCTGCAATGCTGCTGCAATGCTGCTGCAATGCTGCAGCTGCAATGCTGCTGCTGCAATGCTGCTGCAATGCTGCTGCTCCTGCTGCTCCTGCTGCTGCTGCTCCTGCTGCTGCTGCTCCTGCTGCTGCTGCTCCTGCTGCTCCTGCTGCTCCTGCTCCTGCTGCTCCTGCTGCTGCTGCTGCAGTGCTGCGGGTGGAGTGCTGCGGGTGCAGCTGTGCTGCTGCTGCTGCGCTTGTGCTGCTGCTGCTGCTGCTGCAGCAAGGGCTGCCGTGGGACCTGGGCCGCCACCAGCAGTCGCTGCTGCACGTGCCGCACTCTTCTGTGTCTCTGTCCCATTTGCTGCTGCTGCGGGAGAAGACAAAAGGGGCTTTGCAGATCGTCGACTTGGGCTCCACCATCGGCACCATGGCCAAGTGAGCCCAGCTAGCTAACTATGGAGCTAGCTAGTCTGCTGCACTGGCTAGCTAGCCAGCTAGCTAGCCATGTAGCTAGCTAGTCTGCTGCACTAGCTAGCTGGACAGCCTGCTGCCAGCTGGCTAGCTAGCTAGTCTGCCACACTGGCCAGCTAGCTAGCCTGCTGCAGTGGCTAGCTAGCCAGCGGCCTAGCTAGCTGCTTAGTTAGCAACATACTGGCTGCCTAGCTAGCTAGCTAGCCAGGCAGCCGAGTGGCTAGCTTGGCAGTCAGCTGCAGTTTTCTGTGGAGCTGCGCGCAGCGAGCTGCGCAGGCACGCCGCCTTGCTCGCTGCATCTTTCTTGCTGCTGCTGCTGCTGCTGCTGCTGCTGCTGCTGCTGCTGCTGCTGCTGCTGCTGTGCTGCAGAGTTTGTGGGGTGCAGCCGCTGCAGTCTGGGGACTTGATCCACATTGGGGACCGCGTGGAGGTCTCCGTGGAGATTCACCCGGCCCCCCCGTGGCTGCGGCGAAGGGCTCAAGGCGACAGCAGCAGCAGCAGCAGCAGCAGCAGCAGCAGCAAGAACAGTAGCAGCAGCAGCAAGAACAGTAGCAGCAGCGGCAGTGATGCTGCAAAAGTGGAGGAGTGCCCCTACTTGCTGTCGCATTGGAACGTGGCCCTCAACAAAGTCGTGGGGCCCGTTTTGCCTGAGGACGACGCAGCAGCAGCTGCAGCAGCAGCAGCAGCAGCAGCAGCAGCAGCAGCAGCAGGGGGCGAAGTAGAGGCGCCCAAGAAGCTGGCTGGAGGCACCCGCGGTGCCCTTCAGCAGGGGCCCCCCGCAGATCAAGAGAAGGGTTTGGGGGCCCCCTGCTGCAGCGCAGCAGGAGGCGTTGCTGCTGCTGCTGCTGCGTTGGAGGAGGAGCTGGCGGGCGCAGACAGCAGCAGCAGCAGCAGCAGCAGCAGCAGCTGCAGCTGGGCGCCCAGCCCGGAGGGCTTTGGCCGCAGCAGGCAAGCAGCAGCAGCAGCCGCGTCTTCCGCGTGCGGCTTAGGTGCGGGCGCAGCAGCAGCAGCAGCAGCAGCAGCCGGCGCTGCTGCTGCTGGCGGCGCCGCTGCAGCAGCAGCAGCAGCAGCAGCGGCGCTGGAAGGCAGCAGCGCGCGCCGGGGGGCCCCCCCCGCTGCTGCTGCAGCAGCAGCAGCAGCAGCAGCAGCAGCAGCAGAGGCCGAGCTGGGGGAGGGGCCCCTGGAACCCCTGGAGTCCTTTTTGCTGCTGAAGATCCACGGCCACGGCCGGCAGCAAGAAAAGGAAGTTTGGATAGACCCCAGGGGAGTGGTCTTGGGCAGGGGGCCCCACACCCAAACGCCCGACTTCAAGAAGGTCTGCTGCTGCTGCTGCTGCTGCTGCTGCTGCTGCTGCTGCTGGGGTGTGCCTGTGCTGCTGCTGCTGGGGTGTGACTGTGCTGCTGGGGTGTGGCTGTGCTGCTGCTGGTGCTGGTGCTGGGATGTGGCTGTGCTGCTGCTGCTGGGGTGTGGCTGTGCTGCTGCTGCTGGGGTGTGGCTGTGCTGCTGCTGCTGGGACGTGGCTGTGCTGCTGCTGCTGCTGGTGATACGGCCGTGCTGCTGCTGCTGGGGGTATGGCCGCGCTGCTGCTGCTGCTGCGAACACAGCTGCGCTGCCGCTGCTGCTGCTGCTGCTGCTGCTGCTGCTGCAGCTGTCAGTGACGGCCAGCAACGGCTACGTGAGCCGGCAGCACTGCTTCGTGTACTACGACGGGCGGCAGCAGCAGCGGCGGTGGCTGCTGAAGGACTTGAGCACTTTGGGGACTTTCATTCGGCTGAAGCCGCTGCAGCCTTTCCCCTGCAGCTGCCCGCGGGCGCTCTTCAAGGTGGGGCAGTGCAAGGTCGAGGTGGGCCGCTGCAGCGAGCCGCAGCAGCAGCAGCAGCAGCAGCAGCAGCAGCAGCAGCAGCAGCAGCAGCGGCGGCGGCAGCGCCTGCAGCGCCGCAGTCGCCAGCCGCACGCACGCTCCCTACCCGCCGACTTGCCCCTCGAGGGGGCCCCCGAGCGGGGGCCCCAGGGGGGGGCCCCCCGACCAGCAGCAGCGCGGGACCCGGGGGGGCCCCTCGGGACCCTGGGGCCCCGGGGGCCCCTGGGGCCCCTCGAGCCCCCGGGGCCCCTGGGACCCTTGGGGCCCCTCGGGCCCCTGGGGCCCCTCAGCAGTCTGGGGCCCCTCGGGCCCCTCAGCAGTGCGGGGCCCCGGGGGCCCCGGGGCCCCCGGGGGCCCCGGGGGCCCCTGGGGCCCCTGGGGCCCCCGGGGCCCCTGGGGCCCCTCGGGCTGCAGGCCGAAGCCTCTCTGGAGGAGATGGCGAGGGAGCTGGGGCGGCAGCAGCTGCTGCCCGCGCTGGGGGCGGGCCCCCAGGAGCTGCTGCTGCAGCAGCAGCTGCAGCAGCAGCTGCAGCAGCAGCTGCAGCAGCTGCAGCAGCTGGACCCCAGGGGGGCCCCCTACCCCCCGGGCCTCCCCCTACAGCCCACCAGCTTCCCCGTCTTCGTGCCCTGGGGGAGGGCCCGCAGCAGCGCCTACGAGCAGGCGCTGCAGCCCCCCGCAGTGCAAGGTGCGTGACCACTGGTCAGCTGCAGCAGCAGCAGCAGCAGCAGCAGCAGCAGCAGCAGCGGCAGCAGCAGCGGGCAGCGCGTCGCTCGAGCTCCGCAGGGGCTGCTTGTGGGGCCGGGTGTATGGGCAGCTTTTGGGTTTGTTGGTCTTACGAGGGTTTAGGGTTTGTATCTGCTGCTGCTGCTGCTGCTGCTGCTGCTGCTGCTGCTGCAGAGCTGCTGCGGTGGGGTTTGCTCGGCCCAGAGCTGCCGCCGCTGCAGCATCCGCCGGCGCCCAGTCCCCTGTCTCTGTCAGGTCACGAGGAGATAACTGCAGCAGCAGCAGCAGCAGCAGCAGCAGCAGCAGCAGCAGGACTGCCCAGCAGTTCCGGCTTCCAGGGGCCCCCAGGGCCAGGGGGCCCCCCTGGGGCCCCCACCAGGGGCCCCACCGGGGATCCCAGGGGCCCCAGGGGGGCCCCCCGAGGAGTGGCCGCCAAGGGGGCCCCCCGGGGGGGCCCCCTCGGTGGGTACCTCCGAGCCAGCGGCGTTGGGGCCCCCGGGGGGCCCCCTGGTGGGGGCCCCCCGGCAGCGGTGGCGGCGGCCGCGGCAGGGGCCCTGTGGGTTGCTGCTGGGGCCCCCGGGGAAAGCAGCAGCAGCAGAGGGGCCCCCGGCCAGCTGGTGGGGCCGGCGGGGGCCCCTAGGGGGGCCCCTAGGGGGGCCCCCAGGGGGGCCCCGGGGGGCCCCCGGCTGCGGGGCTTTTGAGGGTCTCGAGGGCCCCGGGGGCCCCGGGGGCCCCGGGGGCCCCCCAGATAGCCAGTGCATGCAAAGTTTCTCAGAATGCATGCGCCCCTCGCCGCAGCCAGCAGCAAGCGAGGGGGGAAGCCCAGCAGCGCTGCTGGGGGCCCCCCGGCCCCACAGCTCCCGGGGCCCCCCGGGGCCCCGGGGGCCCCCCGGGCCCCGGGGGCCCCCGGGGCCCCTGGGGGCCCCTGGAGGCCCCTGCGCACAGCTAGTTCAGCTAGCGCAGCTAGCGCAGCTGGCGCAGCTAGCTGGGCGGGAGGCCGGGGGGCCCCCGAGGCTGCAGCAGCGGGAGCGGCGTTTGTCGGACGCTGAAGGGAGCGAAGGCAGCGGGCTGGGGCGGGGGCCCCCCGGGGGGCCCCCCGGGGGGCCCCCGGGGGGGCCCCCCGGAAGGGGGGCCCCCCGGGGGGCCCCCCTGGGGTGCGCGGAGGAGTACCTTTACGCGGGCAGACACAAGTGAGGCCCCGGCGGGGCCCCCAGCGAGCTCAAGGCTGCTGCGGGCAGCAGCAGCAGCAGCAGCAGCAGCAGGCCTGCAGCCAAAGACGAGACACGGCCAAAGGGCGGGGCCCCCGGGGGCCCTAGTCTGTGTGGGTGCAGCAGAGCTGCGCTGGTTTTATAGTTAGCGGATGTGTTGTGTAGAACAAAAGTGCCATTTAAGTCCCTTTTTTAAAGTTGGCTTTTCTTGTCTTAGTCATTTTCTTTGTTTCCGCTGAACTCCAGCGGAAAGCAACACAGCAGAAGCTGCACCGACTCCAGGGGCACATTTGGCTTGCAAATGCGAACTTTGAACTTTTTCTTGAATTTTTAAAGTGCTTTCCGACTTATTCTTGAATTTAAAAAGTGCTTTTTGATTTATTGTTGAATATTTGAAAAGCTTTCCGATTTCTCTGAAAGTTTTCAAGTGCTTTCCGCGCGGGCCGGGGGGGCCGGGAGCCACTGGACAACAGCAGTCCGGAGTTCAAGAACAGGAACTGAGAAAATAACTTCGCAGCCCCTTCGAGTCTGAAAAATAGTTTTATTTTGCATTTCAGGTTTTTAATTTATTTATTTAGAGAGTTTAGAGGCCTGGGCGGGGCGTGTTCTCGGTAGAAGACGGGCGCTGCAAGTCCCCGCCCAGTTCAAGTTGCAGCAGCCTTCCCGGCGGCTGCGGCAGCAGCAGCAGCAGCAGCAGCAGCTGCTGCTGCGCCAGGAAGCAGTTATTGAACTAATTGAGTTGAAAGACTTGTTGGCTTTTTAGTTTAGTGGCTGTTCAGGCTCAGTGGGTTTTGTTTGGAGCTTTATTTGCGCAGTCTGGCAGCCTCCTGGTGGAGTTTCCGCAGGCGGTTCCTGAGGTGGCTGAGTTCGTGCAGAAACTTGTTTTGCTTCTCCTCGGACTTTGCGTAATTTTCCAACTCCTGAAAACGAACGAGAGGCGCCATCAAGTCCATCTGATCTTCTTCTTTGGCTGCGTGCTGCAGCCCCAGGGCCGCAGCCGCCTGCGCCCTGACGCGCAGCAGCAGCCCCTCCACCTCTGTCTGCAGGCTGCGCAGCTCAAGGAGTGGAGCAGCAGCAGCAGCAGCAGCAGCGCGAAAGTGTTATTATTTACCTTTTTAGCTGCTGCTGGATGCTGCTGTTGGCCGTTGCTGCTGCTGCTGCCGCCTGCGCCGCCTGCTGCAGCCGCTGGCCGTGGAACCTGAATCTGAACTTGCAAAAAGCTGCACGAGCCCGCGGCGCTGCTGCTGCTGCTACCTCAGCTTATTTTTCGCGCTTTCCAAGTCGGAGTGGAGATATTGGAAGTGAGGAAGAACTGTTTCCACTTCGAAGGCGAGTTGCATGGCCTGAAGTGGCAGATCGTGCAAGTCCGCAGCCAGCCCGGCAGCAAGGACTCACCTCGGCGAGCGGCGGGGGCTGCGCAGCAGCAAAGTCTCTCTGCAGCTTTTTCGGAACTTTTTTGCTGCTATATTTCTCTAAAGAAGCTTCCAGGCTGCTGAGGCGGCTCTCCAGGTGCGCGGGGTTGACTGTCTGCAGCAGTTTGCACGGGCTCTGCCGCAGACGCAGCAGCAGCAGCAGCAGCAGCAGCTCACCTGGAGTTTCCTGGCGAGGTCCTGCGGATTAAATTGAATTAAATTCAATAAAAAGAATAACTTTTTGCTGTTTTCTCCTCGCTGGCCCCTCACCTTCTCCGCGAACTTGGCCAGCGCCGCCAGCCGCTGCGCCTCGCCGCTGCTGCGCTGCTGCAGCACAGCCTGCCGCGCGTGCTGCACCTGCTGCAGCAGCCTGCTGCCAGCAGCAGCAACTTTGTCTTTGACGTTTTTCCAGCTTTCCGAAAGAAACTGCAGCGCAGCAGCTCCTCCCTGGGGTTTCCCGCGAGCCCCCAGATCTTTAATTCCTTCGGAAATGCTGAAGAGAGTTTCGGAGTGCGGAATGAACTCTTGAATGACGAAGCGCGCGGCCAGCCCGTGGCTGCTGCTGCTGCTGCTGCAGCTGCTGCTGCTGCTGCTGCTGCTGCAGCCGCCCAGAGCTGGTGACTCTGAAGATTAGTTGAACTTCTTTTTGCTTTTTTTGCCAAGTGTACCTTTTGCTTCGCGCTGCGCAGCCTCCAGGGCCTCCTCGACGTCCAGCCCAGGCAGCTCGGCGCAGCTGCCGGACTGCAGCAGCAGCAGCTGCTGCATTTGCGCACTCAGCTGCAGCGCGAGCGTGTCTGCTGCAGCGGGGCTGCTGCTGCTGCTGCTGCTGCTGCTGCACTCACCTGGGCCACGGCCTCGTGCACTGCTTGCGCCGCTTCAGCCAGCTGGCGGGCCTGTTCGTCTGCAGCTTCCCCGCGGGCCGCCGGCTTTGCCATAAGCAGCACAACCTGCCATTTTGGAGTTTCTTTTTGAAATAAAATAAAAACAAAAACAAAAGAAAGGCCCACGTCCTTCAAGATGGGCCGCAGCTGCCGCGCCCGCAGCCGCAGCGCCTGCGCGCACGCAGCAGCAGCAGCCTCGGGGGCTCCTGCTGCTGCTGCTGCTGCTGCTGCTGCAGCGCGCAGCAGACACGGAGTCGCCGCCTGCAGCAGCTCGAGCTGCGCGGCCAAGTGGCTGAGGGGCTGCAGCGCGGGGTGGCCGAGGAGGCGGTAGACGGCGGCGTCGTCTGCAGCGAGGAGGCGGCGCGCTGCGCTGCTGCTGCACTGCTGCAGCACGACGCAGGCCAGCAGCAGCAGCAGCAGCGGCGCCTTCATCCTAAATCAGTTGCAAATCTATTTTATTGCTTTGCTGCACTTCAAGCGCTCGAAATCGGGGGAAGTTCCCGCAGCTTTCCGCAGCTTTCCGCAGCTTTCCCGCGCCGCGCTGCGTGCGTACACCGCGCGGCGGCAGACAGCCCAGAAGGATCCGGAGGATCCCGCGGGCAGACTGAGGGAACACTAAAGAGAAACATAAAAGAAGTTCAATTATCTGAAATAAAACAGAATTGGTGACACAATTATCCAAAATAAAACAGAATTGATGACTCAAACGCAGCGCGGGCAGTTCGCGAGCTCTGCGCTACGCCGGCGAAGCGCCTGCAGCAGAGCTGCCGGCCGCTGCGGCTTTTCGCTCGCCTGCGCGGCTCGCTGGGCTTTTTTCAGAAGATAAAAAGGAATAATTTTCGAAGTTTGGCCTCTGGGCGGCAGCAGCTGCTGCGGGGTCGCTGGGGAGGGCCGCAGCAGAGCCTGCGCAGCTGGCGCTTGCTGTCGGCGCTGCTGCTGCAGCAGCCCCGCTGCTCGCCTCCCGCTGCTCGGAAGACTCCGGCGACGCAGCAGCAGCGCCGGGCTGCTGCTGCTGCTGCTGCTGCGCAGTTTGCTGCTGCTGGCTTGAGCTGCTGCAGCTTTGCTGCAGCGCGCCGCCGCCCTCCGCCTCTGCGTACTGCTGCGGAGGCACTGCGTTGAAGTGCTGCCAGTCGTAAGCAGCAGCAGCAGCAGCAAGAGTTGCTGGGGCCTCTTGGTAGCTGCTGGCGCCAGCAGCAGCAGCAGCAGCAGCAAGAGTTGCTGGGGCCTCTTGGTAGCTGCTGGCCCCAGCAGCAGCAGCAGCAGCAGCAGCAGCGCAGTAGGCGTAGTACCCCTGCCAACTCGCCCAGTCCGCGCAGGGGGCCCCGTAGGCATACAGCTGCGCGCTTTGCGCTGCTGCGAGGGGCCACTGCTGCTGCTGCTGCTGCTGCTGCTGCTGCTGCTGCCCGTAGGGGTAGAAGTCGCAGCAGGCGGGCAGGCCGCCGCGTCTGCTGCACACAAAAGCCACAGAGCCTCTCCTGCCCTCACGCCTCCAGCTGCAGCAGCAGCAGCAGTAGTCAACTGCTGCTCAGCAGCAGCAGCAGCAGCCAGGTGCTGCTGAGCAGCAGCAGCCAGGTGCTGCTGAGCAGCAGCAGCAGCAGCAGCAGCTGGCTGCTGCTGTGCAGCAGCAGCAGCAGCAGCAGCAGGTTGCTGCTGCAGCAGATATAGCCACCTGTCGAGTCTTGGCCGTGAGCGCTTGGGCTCCGGCTTTCTTATCTCCACCAGCCGGTCCTGCGGCGCAGCAGCAAAGTTTGCTGCATTTCTTTTATTCAACTTTTAATTTAATTTGTTTTAATTTATTTTAATTTATTTGTTTTAATTTAATTTATTTTAATTAATTTGTTTTAATTTAATTTGTTTTAATTTAATTTGTTTTTATTTAGTTTGTTTTGATTTAAGTTCTTTTAA